ACAGCAGTGTTTGAGTCACACACAGAGTTCACACTGTGGCTGTGCCACGGCCGTCTTGGCTGGCACAGGTCCCCTTGGGTTCATCAACTTCCCATGGCATGAAAAAGGCCTGAGGAAAACGACTTACAGGGGGAAAGACTTTCTGGGGCTCATGGATTCAGAGGTCTGAGTTGGGGGTTAACGGGCTCCACTGCTTCTGGGCCTGTTGTGAGGCACAAAATCACGGCAGAAGGGCACGGAGCGGCGGGAGGCTCAGGAAGCGTACAGGGAGCCAGGAAGGGGCCAGGAACAGGAGACGTTCCCGAGGGCGTGCCCCCCAGGACCCATCCCCTCCAAGGAGGATGCACCCCCTCCATCCGCCACGCTCCAAGCAGTCCCTCAGTGGATTAATCCACATAGACAGTGGCCCGCACTCGTCTCGGCTTAAAGTAGAAACTGAGGCTGACATCGACATTCCAACCTGGGGCTTTCCCGGGGGACGGGTTCCGAGGTGTTGAGCAGAGGATCGAGCCCCTAAATGCTGCGAGGTGCCACGGAATCAACCAGGGTCCTTTAAAAATACTGGAATAATCGAAAGCTCCACAGTGAACATTTTTTAAAATGAAGCAATAATGTTGTTGGCTGCTAAAATCTGCCACAAACAAGCAAATTCATTATCACATTGTGGGAAAGGATTTTTTTCAACATTAGATCAAGGAGCCCAATAATAATCTGTTACTGGGCGGATAATTAGAGGCAGGGACTGGCCTTTTCTCCTGTAGGACGCTGCCCCCTGCAGGAAGAGCTCGGCTCTGCACGTCAGAGGGAAGGTTGGCCGCCTTCCGTTTCCTTGTGTTCGACTTAGTTAATGAGTAAGATAAGGGACAGGTGAGAGGTCTCCTGGGCCATTTATACTGAGCCTGTGGCACACATTCAGGTGACAGTTAATGTGCAAAAATAAACCTTGAGTTTCTTCTTAAGAAAAGATCTAATAAGCAAAGATTTCCACAAAAGGCCACTGTTTGCCAACAATAAATGACAGATCCAAAAAAATAACCATTAAAATAGTAAAAAAAAAAAAAAAAAAAAAAAAAAGGCACCATGACTGACACATCTCTGCATTGTGCAATGGCCAAATGAATCTCTCCTTCAGATAACTGAGCAAAATGAATCATAGTGGGTTTTTTTTTGCTTTAAAATAACACTTCAACTTATAAGTCACCAATTAATAACCGTATTTTAAGTTCTATAGATAAGATGACCCTACACATTACCCTATTCTTTATCTCGTCTAGACAAAGAGTCTATTCCCACATGGTCAAGTTCTGAAAAGGGTTGATAAGCAAAAAGCTAACCTAACAAACAGTTAGAAACCCATTGAGCTACTTCTTCTAGAGCTGTCTTGGAGACCTTCTGTGCTGCGGATTGGGTCCTCTGGAAGCAGACGGTGAGATGTCGCTGGGGAAGGCATTTGTTATGAATTCACACGCGGGACGTGGAGGAAGAGGAGGTGGAGGAGCTGAAGGTGCGGCAGCCCGGACCCAGGCACGGGGCCGGGGGGACATGCCCCTAGAGCTGCCCCGTGTTGGAGTGGAATGACCGGGTCGTAGGCCCTCCCCTGGCCTTTGGGGACGTGGGTCGACCTGGGAAAGATGTGCCTTTGGGCAGAGGGTCAGTCTGCAGCCAAAGCAGCCCTGGAAGAACCGCGTCTTACCGCGCTGCCCAGGCTGCGCTGCGGCACTGACTTAGAGGGCAGTGTGGTGGCACGTGGGATTCCTTCCTGCATCCAGTTCACGTGGCCTTTGGGGACAGCACCTCTACTCCTACAGAGCCAGGGCTGGAGGCATGAACCGTCCCTGTGGGTCACAGGAGTGAGCGGGGACCTTACTGCTCTTGGCACTGAGATCCCTGCAACCTGGTCCTTGGAGACACAAAGCCCACATTCAACCTGTGAATGCGCGTCTAGACGTCACACTCCAAGGACAGCTTCCCGTCTGCACAGGCGGCCGGAGTGCTCCCTAAGGCCCCCCGGGTTGGTTCCTTCTGAGCTCTGGCAGCTGGGGACCGCCCCGTCTCTGTGTGACACAGGGTCCCTGTTCAGCCTGACCTCAGAGCATGCCTGACCTCAGATCTCTGCCTTCACCGGGTTTATCCCATCTTCTTGCTGTTGGAAGCTGGGCAGGCAGTGGTGCAGTTGCAGGCCTCTGCCCACCAGGGGGCGCCCTGTGTACAGGATTGCTCCATGGGACAGTCCCCCAGGACCTCCGGGCTAGTCACAGCAGGAGGAGGCCATGCCCCCCAACAGGAACCTCTGCAGGATCCTCCCATCAGCTCACTGTGTCTGCAGACAGGGAACCCGGCGTGAGCAGTGGTATTTCTAATCAGGGCAGCGAGCATTCTAACAGCCGGTGCAAATGGTCCCTATCTGCACACAACTAGAGAAACGCGGCCGCCTTTGCTCCCCCACATCCCTGTTGCCATCCTAAAAAAATAATGCCATGAGGGTGAGAGGGGAGCGCTTTTCCGCAGGTACATTCTGTGTGAGTGATAAGTACATGTTTACAACAGGAATAACGGTAGCAGCCTTTGCAGTCTCCATTTCCTGGGCATTTTTCTCTCGGGTGGTTTGTAAAGGTCATAAAACCCTTTAAGAACCTTGAAAGAACAAGGTGTTTTCCCTGAGAAGAACGCTGATTATGAACCTGAACATGTACCTCTCGGGCGCTCGGGACCTCGCTGAAGCCCACCCACACATTCTGGAAGGTTCTGCGGGCCCTGGAATTCATCACTCGGGGTGAGTAGAGCCTGCCCTGGGTCTGGAGTCAGGAGACTTGGTGAGGAGCCTGGTTCTGTCCTGGGCTGATGGCACGTCCTCCGGCACGGCAGGTGAGTGCCCCTTACAGCTGCACTGTGAGAGGGTCACTGTCCCCCACAGAGCGTTTATGGGTGGTGAGAACGCGGCGGGAAAGCGGCCAAACTGGCTATTCTTCCAGTTACACTAAGACTCTTGCTTACACCTTCGACCTATCCCCGGGATTTCCTCAGGCGGTTGCCCTCCTCCCCTCTCCTCTGGGCCTGCTGACCAGGCCACTCACCTCCAAAGCAGTTTCCACTCCCCAGCAAAAACAGCGATGCATTCACCTGTAGGAATTTGTGTGCACCCTGAATTTGATGAATAAAATCCCAGCCAGGCACGCCTGTGATCCCAGAGACTCGGGAAGCTGAGGCAGGAGGATCCCAAGTTCAAAGCCAGCCTCAGTGAGGCCCTGAACAACTTAGCACGCTCTGAATTAAATATAGGACATAAAAGGGCTGGGGATGTGGCTCAGTGGCTCAAACCCTGGTACCAAAAAAATAAATAAGTAAAATCCTAACAATCATTCTCAATGTATTTGCATTGTATGAAACATTAATCTCTTCCCAGCGCCTGTATGACATCTTAATTAACTATCCTGACACTATCCATATCTCCAGGTGCTTGCTTTGTCGTTGGAGGGAGTGTTCTTCACACAATCACTCTGGAGTTCACGAACCCCTCTGCTACTGGGACATGCACCTACTTTGAATGGGTGAGTCATTTTATTCCCCTGCTGTATTAGTTTACTTGAGTTACTATAATGAAACACCGGAGGCAGGTTAAGTTTAAAAAGAAAACAGGTGTCTTTAGTTCAGTTTTGAAGGTTGAAAGTTCAAATACCATGGTGCAGGCTCTAGAGAGGACACCCTTGGCAGCATGACCTCATGGGGGATGACAGGGGAAGAGTGTGGGAGAAGGAGCTCACAGAGCCAAATGGGAAGCCAGAGGGAGACGGGGGTCTCACAGTCCTTTCTGAGGGCCTGATCTCAATTGACGAGAGACCTTCCTATTAGGCTCACCTCTGGAAGGACCCAGAGCTCCCACATCCTCACCCTGGGGACCAAGTCTCCCAACCATGAAACTTTGGGAGAAAAGACAGCCATGCCCTCTGCTCTGGGGCAAGGTCAATATGTCAGGTTATGACAGTCTTTGGGGTAGCACAGCTCTTCTCCCCAACTTTCAGGAGCTCCCTGAACTGCCACACAGGATACAGACATGGACATGATGCCAGCCAGACCCTCTTTCCATTGCTGTGACAAAATACCTGAAGAGATGAACTTATAAGGAAAAAAAAAAGGTTAATTTTGCTTCATGGTTTCAGAGGTTTCTGTCCACGGTCGCTTGGTCTCAATGCTTTGAGCCTGGGACGAGGCAGAACATCATGGAGGGGGACACAAGGTAGAGAGAGCATGACAGGAAGCACAGGGGGGGGAAGGGGCTGGGGCCCAATATTCCCCATGGCCTGACTTCCTCCCACCAGGCCTCACCTCCTGAAGGTGGCACCACCCAACAGCCCCAGAGCAGGGGCCATGCCTTCAACCCACAGCACTGGCAGGACATTTCAGACCCGAACCACAACCACACGAAAGAGCCAGCTGCTATGTCTGTGCAGGAGCCCCATGTGAGTGTGCACTGGTGACCCCGTGCGGGTGGGGGACGGTGGTCCTCACGGCCTGCCTCTCTGTCGGCCTGCAAACCCTCACATGGTCCTCACCGTGCAGCTGCCTGTTTCCCCAGCCCCCGGGGAGAGGCCAGCACTCCTCAATGGCCCTAGAGGCGCTCAGGTAGGTGGGGCTGTGTGTCCCCATAAGGACCCGCGATGGGACTCCAAGTCACAGGGACCAAAGCGACCAGCCTGACCACACGGCACCTTCCAGGCCATGGGAGGGCCACTCAAGCCCAAGGCTTCTGACCCCTGTGCCTGTGAGCCCAACCAACACGTCGTGTTTACAACATGAAGCTCAAAGGAGCCACGGGAGAGGACAGACTGACTGCAGTGGCCACTGGCCAACCTAAAGTCAGGCCACCCCACGCTGCGTGCTGACCGAATGCACTTTCCAGACCTTATGGAGGATACGATTCATCCCATATCAGTCTCCTGACTGAATGGGATGTGTGTGTCTGCGTTCAAGCATTTATTTCACAGAATGGTGCAGCCATCAGATATGATGCGTGGTCACTTCATTCTTTATTAAATAAAGCGAAAGAAAGGAACGAAGTCACCTCCCTGTCATCCTCAGAGCAGAAATGAGTCTTAACATGCGTTTGTGTATCTCACTTGCAGAGGCCTAGCGAGACGTCTTCTGACCCTTCCAGCCAGCGCAGGTTCCCGCTGCAGTTTAAGAAAGGTCAGACCCTTTTCCCGACCTCAGGACAGCAAGCCCTGTCCCCACCATGACGTCCTGCCCAAGAAATCCCGGCAGGCGCTGCCTTTGAGGGCCCAGGCTGTCCCGAGGTTCCCCGGGCTCTTGCCACAAGTGCTGCTGTCCACACGCCACCTGACGGCGGGCGGGCGGTTCCTGGTCTAGACGTCACCCTGGGGGTGATGTCACCACGTTGTCACCCCACTGGCCGCCAGGGCGCCATCTAAAGGACCGCTTCTTCTCTTGCCTCCTGTAGCTGCCTGCAGTTTGGGGAAAGAGAGTCTCCTTTTAAATCAAGGATTTGTTAAGTGCGTTCTGAAAACCAGGTCCTCCTCCCTGCTCCTCCCCTCCTCCTCCCTCCTCCCTCCTCCCCTTCCCCGTCCTCCTCCCTCCTCCCCCATCCCCTCCTCCACCTGTCCCTCTTCCTTTAAATGAAGAAACCCTAAACCGCCTCCTGAAATCAACTCCACTCCCTGCTCCTCCTCCTCGGGTCTCCGTGTCTCCCCACCAGGGGGCAGAGCTGAGGCGGAGCTGCGGGGCGGGAGGGTCTGGCTGCAGCAGTTAAGGTCCCCCCCCCCCCCCCCCCCCCCCCCCCCCCCTCTCCATTCTGGGAGGGGGTAAGACTTCACAGGGGCTGAGGCCTTCTTTGGATGTGCAAAGCCACCCTCAGGTCCCCTCTCCCAGTAAAACCCAAGGAGTCTGAGGAGCCAGCCTCCCCTGGGCGCTCACAAATGGCCTCTCTCTTTCTTCTTCCATCCCAGCTTTAGCAGTGCTCCCCGGATCTGGAGAGAGATGCCTCGGCTTCACCCAGGGAGAGGGCTGAGCTGTCACCAGGACAAGCCAGGGGCACACAGGGTCGGACTTCACAAGCACCCAGCAACAGGAGTGGGCCACCTGCAGAGAGGGGGATGGGGGGAGGATGGGGGGGAGGATGGGGGCTGGGAGGGCGGCGGGTGCAGAGGAGCCAGGCAGCACTGCAGCAAACACCAGAAACCCGGATGACCACTGCAGTTACCCCACAGCAGGAGACCAGGAGGCCCACAGCCAGGCAGTGAGACCACCAAGTCCTCACAACAGGGGGCAGACCCACAGGGATGGTGGGGACGTGAGATTAGGGCATAATTCCATAACCGGGCCCACTACTGACCCCCATGTGCTTCCTCTTTTAAAAAGCTGTCACCTGCAGCCCTGCCCGGCCAACAGGACGTGCTGCACTCCCCAGCAAAACAGCCGACATCTGCAGGAGAGATGGAGGTCCACCACCAGATGAGAACACAGGTCACCCTGAAGGAGGTGCCACAGCGGAGCCCTGGGGGGCTCTGAAGGCAGCCCTTGGGGCTGGGCCAGCTGACTTTTAAAACAGACTTTTTCTCTACCTCTCTCCCTGCTCCTCCCTAACCCCTCCCCTTCCCTAACCTCAGGGGAGGGTGGCCTCTTCCCCATCCTAGGCAGAGCTGTCTGACCCTGAGTCCACACCCTCCCCAGGAACAAAGTCTTCCAGACTGGGGATGGCACCAGGTGATCTCAGAGATGACTGTCACCCACATCAACAAGTGAAGGGCAACCCCAACAGAGAACCTGGGGCGCGCTGCCTCTGAGTCACCTCTTCAAAAGCCCCCTCCCTGCTCCTGCTGACAGAGTCACAGCCTCTGGGACAGGAGTCCCCTGGGTCTCTCCTTTGCTAGCAAAGCCATAAACTTTCTTTTTCTTTTTCTCAGAACTGTGTCCTTGTTATTGGATCGGCATTGGGGACAAGGACTGACCTTTGGCAACAGAGGGACTTTTGTGACCCTGACACAGACCAGATCCCAGACCTCAGGGGATAAGGATGATTCCTTCTGACCATAAAATCTGTAAGAACAGGTTCCAGTGAGAGTCCTCAGTACGGGCCAAGGTGACCTAGAGTGGCCATGGCAGTGGGGACTAGAAAGCCTGATGTCACCCTGCTGTCAGTCAAAAAGTCAAGGGTGGTCCTGGGCGGGACTCTCTGGACACTTCTCTGAGATCCCCCAATAGAACTGGAGTGTAGAGAGCCCCGTCCCCAGCCCTATTCTGTACTTTATTTAGAGACAGGGTCTCCCTGAGTTGCTCAGGGCCTCGCTTTGGCGGAGGCTGGCTTTGAACCCGGGATCCTCCTGCCTCTGCCTCAGAGCCCAGCAGCTGGAATTACAGGCACCTGGCTCACCATAGCCGATTCCCATGAAGAAATCTCAGAAGAAAGACAGAAATAAGCCCACACACAGACGGGATTGTTATAAGCCCCCCCATGAAAAGAAATAACATGCAAAACAGTTTGATTAATTTATAAATATTGTATCTTCCCATGTTGCTGAAATCTTAAATATTTTAAGTCACAGTAAATGTCTTTATAGAATCTCTTGGGGAAAAAAATGTGAATTCTCATATATTTGAGCTCCACGACAAACAAGGTTAAAGTTTAAGAAGACATCACTTTTTTTCTTATTAAATAGTTAAGCTTGGGGCCTGGGGATACAGCTCAGTTGGTAGAGTGCTTGCCTCCCTTGCACAAGGCCTTGGGTTCGATCCGCCAGCAACACACACACACACACACAAATAGTTAAGCGCAACATTTTGCATCTTCTGACTGAATATGGATGATATGTAAAGCAAGTTCTGGGACATAAACGCCGCCCTCTGTGGAATGTCCTGTATGGAGCAGAAGCACTGCCCTGTCTACCCGGGGGTCAGTGCTTGGTCTCTGGAGAGAAGAGTCCATACAGGATGGCGCCCAAGAGACGTTCTGGTTCCAGGGTCTGAGAAATTCTTTCCTCATCTGACTCTAACATGTTTAGTCCGATTTGTGGGTGTATCCAATGTGTGCACGACATCACAAGGAACATCAGCTGGATTCCAGGAAAAACGGAATGGAGAGACCCGTTCCAGCCTCGGAGAGACGGGTCCTGTGTCCCTATGGGGAGAAAACGCTGCTGCAGCCCTCAGTGTCCCCAGATCTGCGTCTGATTTCAGGAGAACTGGGCCCTTCCTGCAGCCTGTCTGGAGGACTCCACCTTCCCACTTCATAATACCTTCAGTCACTTGCATTTTAGTGGGGGGTACGCAAAACCAGGTAGAAAGGAGCACTAAGAAACGCATTTCCGATACTTTTATTTCCATGAATGTTACGTTTAAACAATTAGAAATATCTTATCGATTTGCCTTTTCAGGAACTTCCCTGAAACTCCTTCTCTGATCTCTGCTCCTCCTTGCTCTGCTGCAGAGCTGACACCACAGGGCCTCGGAGGCTGCACGGTGCTAACTGGGTCTTGTGGACGCACAGATTGATGTGATTCCTTCTGTTAGCTCAGGCCTCCCTGGCCCCGCTGTCACCAGCCAAACCCCCAATTCCTGTGCCCTTAGGACGAGCCCCTCAAGCGGAATCCGATGCTCCCAGCAAGAAGCAGCATTCTCCAGCTGACAGCCCAGGAGAGGGTGAACACCATCCTTATTCTTCTCACCCCTTTGGGAAACCAATTAGATCCCTTTGGACACTGCCCCTGCGCCTTCCAATCTCTGCCAGGTGCCAGAAGAGAGAGAGTTCAGTCTCACTGTGCCTTGAAAAAACCATCACAGAATTCTGGATCCAGAAACATCACAGTTCGGGGAGGGCACAGAACACGTGTCCCGAATCCCACTACAGCCTCTTCTTCAAAGACATCCTGGACTTACGGATCAAACTGCCACCTGACAAGGAAATACCAACACGGGCACAATTCCACCAGCGCATCACACTCGGACTTCATCGTATGTACACTTACGTCATGCTCTGTACTTGGCTGACACTGTCTACACGACTACTACTTCTTCAATGTGAACTCAAGAGTATTCCCTACATTCCAAGCAAGACCCCTACTGTCCATAGTGAGAGGAAGACCTAAGCCCTGGCAGGGCCATTAAACCTGGATTCCAGGACTTATCAAAGACCTGAGGGACCAGAGAGGTTCAATGCTGGTCTCCATACTGATTCTCCCTGTTCTCTGGCTGCTCCTAAGACAGTCCTTAAACTCTGTTTAAATCAGAGACTAGTTGTTAGATGATGACGGAGCACTAGTGTGGGCAGTAATTCATATTGCAATTAATGAAACGGTACGATCTTGTAATGAGAAGGCTATTATTGTCTTGTAGAGCTTAGCCAAGGGCACAGGGAAAATGGAGCATCAGACATTCGTCTTTGGATCTTTTGAGAACAGTCTATTACACTTTTCTAATTTTATTCTCCTTTCTTTATTCACAAACAAGGGTGCTATTTTGTGTTGATGAATTTCTCAGCTTCTATTAATCAGCCACGTCTAACAAGTTACTCCTGTGTTGGTAAAGGGAGAGGAGAACCAGGAGGGAGTGGGTTCTATCTGGTGTGTCTCCCGTGTGCCTAACACGCGTTCTCTTACATTAGCTCACACTTGCGGCTTAACACCTAAGAGTTACAAAAGATAAAACCCATGAATTCTGCAGAATTAAATGAGATTCCAGAGGGAAGCTTGCTCTCTTTCAAAACTGGCAGCTCTGCTTTGTTCCCACAATGGACTCCAGTTGCGATTTGGAGGGCTCGTGTTTTCTGGCTGATTGACACATTCAGAGATTAGCCAAGGACAAATCTGAAAGCAAACCAGGAGTGGGCCCTGGCCAGTGCCTTCCTGGAAGGCCACATCACAGCCTCGAGCTTCATTCCAACACATGGGTTTAAGGCAACAACGTGCTGCCAAAGCCAGACTCCAACAGAGGTCTCTGGCGCTGAACGGAAACCCGCGGGAATCGTTTCCAGGACACGGAAATCCTAAGATGGCCCAGCCGGCCGGCCTGGCAACACTTTATACTGTGATTGAGCAAAAAAGGCTTCATTTTTAACCGGATGGGCGTAAACGCTGGTGCGTAGGTTAGTCGAATCGTGGGACTCCTAAATCTCCCACGTGTCTCTGAGCATGTACCACCATGGGACGACATACTGTGCCCTGTCACGCTGGCCGTACGTCCTGTTTACAGGATGGCTCCCGTATGTAGAAGATAGGATTCTGCTCCAGTTTCTTATTTGTAGCCCTGTCCCCAAGGCTGCCAAGTCCCTGTCAGCTGATGCACATTAAGGCAGGTAGCCGGGGAGGGCCAGGCACTCCCTGACTTGGAAAGTTACTGTTTCCTGTCATTTTAGCCCCTCAGAACTGCTGTTGTGTCTTCTACACATTCCACTCACCACAGGAACTTTCCAACGTTGCTACCATCTATCTTCCTAAAATGGAATTCTTCCCTA